AGTTTAACTAAACACGTTTAGGTGTGAATGGGGTATAAGATAACTATCAAACTAAACAGTATAGTTGTGCTATGGACTATATACAGTCAATTCAAAATACGTTGTCGTCGACCGGCTCAAGCCTACACGACTGGACCGAAAGAAATATGGGTAAAAATCACTGAAGCGGTTAAATATTCGTTCTGAATTAATTGTTCCCGCTAGTAATAAGATAATAATGGCGAGAAACAATCCATCAAATACATGTCTTCGGGTTTAAGGAAACAAAAACAAAGTACTTATGATTCAGTTCACAATTTCGAATATATGAAGGCATTTAAAAAACGTCTCCTTCAACACTTCCCGCTCGCCTACGAACGTTCGTGCTGTAAACCAGGCATAACTAGTCAGATAAAATTATGCAGTCAACTCGGCTTCAATAATTACTACCCAGAGTTCTTTTCGGTCCAGTCGCGTAGGCTTGAGTTGCTCGACGACAACATTTTTTGAATTGACTATATATAGATCAAGACTATCACCAGTCCATACTAACAAACAGTGTTCTGTGTTCGTGAACCTATTATAATAATAAGAAAAATATTTCTTACAAAGGTACGTTTTTACTGAACTTTTAAAATGATTTATAGTATTGGATAAACGGATGCTGTCGCCCCATGTAAGGGAATCCGGAGTCCGGAATCCACGAAATTTTAGGCTTTGGAATCCAGAATCCAGCACTCTTGGAATCCAGAATCCAGGCCTTGGAATGCCATCGCCTCGACCTAGACTGAACCGATGTAGCCCCTCCCCCACTGTGTAATATCGTCACCAAGAATATCTGTCATCAGATGCTGATTTAATTGATAGACGATTCTACTTATACTGGCAAGTATATCAAATATAATTTTCAGAGAACGTATCGGAAAATTAACGATATGGAATCCGGAATCCGCAATACAAAAGTTTTGGAATCCGGAATCCAGACACTTGGAATCCGTAATCCAGAGTCTCGGAATCCGGAATCCAGCGCTTGGAATCCGGAATCCACCATAAGTCCGGATTCCCTTACATGAGGCGAATGCTGCTAGGCATCGAGTTCCATAGTTTTGKTGCAGCTGTTTGAAATGAGATGAAAATTGGTTTCTCTAAGGTGTCTGGTACCTTTAGCAAAACGTTTTATGAACTGGAAATCCTTTAGATAAGATAACAAGTGTAAAACGTAAACRATTGGACTGTGTAATAGTATTAAGGTATGGTTGCGAACGYTCTATACCAGGCAGCCTTAAGTTKTCGATTCTTATCRAAGTCCACATCCGTACAGCTCCATTCGTAGACTTATAAAACCAAACCACTTCTGCACGACCAGTCGGATGTGTCGAGACATTATTTTCGGTTGAAAGCTGTTAGTTACGACTGAATTTTGGTCAAAGTTTCCATTAAACACCTGGTGAAAGTATTTAAACAATTATCATAGGAAAGTTGTGCTTCAAAACACAAATAAAGCCCCGTCCACACGTATCCGCAAATGTTTGTACCCGCAATTTTTTTTTTTTTTTTGCGGATACGAAAATGTTCGCGTCCACACGCAGAGTATTCGAATCGTTCTCGAATCGTTTTCACTGTCCACACGCGTCCGGAAATTTCTTGATCCGCCCTGATTCACGCTATGCCTAGTCCTTTTGACGGATAGTTTTCCTTATTGAGCATGTGCAAAATCGTGTTTACGTCAGCGTATTCCAAAATTTGCGCATACGATCATCCACACGTATCCGTATTCGTAGCGTATTTGAAAATTTCCACTCTGGAGACCGTTTTCGAAAATTTGCGTATACGGATACAAAAATTTCCGGACACGTGTGGGCGGAACCCGTATCCACAAAAAAATTTTGCGGATACAAAAATTTCCGGATACGTGTGGACGGGGCCTAAAACTGATACTTCAGATTTATTAATGAATTTTAGTCTCCGTTAAGAGCGTAAAGGGCGTCACGCAACCATGATCTATGTAGTTGGGCGACAGAACGTTGCGTGACGATCTAAAAATATTGATTGGTCTAATGTGTTACCTTGACAACGTCATTCTCTTTATGGTCCTCCCAGGTCTGTCCATCAATGCTCCATTTGATCGTGTATTTCGTCACATATTTGACTTGATCGCCGGATCTTCCCTGGGTTGCGATCTTTGTTACAATCTTAACTTGACCCAAATCTACTTGTAGATACTGCCCGACGCTARGACGTGAGGAAGACCAAACACCATCGTTATTCAAACGCCCATATTTTGCCTTAAAACTTGGATTACTCGGATGACCATACGAAGAAGAGGCCGACAGAGCAGAGTCTGGAATCGAGCGATCTTCCATCCCTAGAGGACTTGCACAGGCTAAAAGACAACAGGGAGAGGAAATATAACCACCCTTCTCGAATGCAAAWACAAACTAAACATGTTCGCCATTACATTACGCTCACCTTTACACTGTCGAGTCACGCCATCTTTTTYTAAAAGACACACTTGATCCACAGTACATAACGAGTCATCACAAAACTTGGCAGAACGAAAGATATACAACAGAAAGCTGCCATTATCAGAGGGAACATAGTCTYCCGGATGTGACGCATGCGTAGCGCTATTCAGCTCACAGACACCCACATTGGGATAAAAGTTAAGACTGTAGCAATCGTCGTTAAGGGAGCACTGAATCATACATTGACCAATACCAACGATGTTMGAYAAGGTYTTGATGACATGYYTCTTGAGCACCCAACCAAAAGCAGTATTGAAAGAATCAAACTGCGCATGCGCTGGTATGTCGTATGGAGGTGTGAATTGCGCATGCACCTGAATWCGATGCCAAAATRTTAGKGCTGAAAAGACACAAGATACGAATTGGATCCTGCTGATTTGTTTCATTATATYAGCTGAAAATAGATTAGAAAAGAAARTTAAACAAAAATATTATCGAAGTGTCAGTTGTTACATCGTTATGGATTAAGAATAGTCGAAAGAATCACTTGGAAACCGTTCATTAAGGTTTATATAATAGATTTTCATGAACGCGCGCTTTGATTGGCTTTTATAAAATAATTGGGATACTACGCG